TGTGTAATTTAATGGTTCACTTCTTTAGCGATAGGTTACTGAAGCCTTTAGGGCGCGCAGTTAACAACTGACATAAACTAAAGGAAGAAAATGCGAAACGAAAACTAAAAGATTTGAAAAATGCAACTGATACAATGCAAGCAACTCCTTACTACAGACAGTATGTACAAAAGATGCCAAAACATTGCTACTAAATAATAGAAAGTGATCCGCAGTCCGGTCGACCGCGCTTCACCAACACAGCAAACAAACAAGTAAACAAGCAGCAATACAGCGTGCAAAGAGGGAAGAATTTGGGCAAGCTGATGCTGAGTGTGCGAGAGAGGGAGACAGTGATGTCGGCAAATAAACAAACAAACAAGTAAACAAACAGCGTTGCAGTGTGTGAAGCGAGAAAATTTGGGCAAGCTAATGCTGAGTGTGCTTAGGAATGTGTATGCTGTCGTAATTAAACAAACAAGCAAGTAAACAACAAAAACTTGTAAACAAATAGCACTTCAGTCTACAAAGAGAGAAAAATTATCAGCTGCACTGATTATAGATGAGCTTTCTACTCCGTAAATTGCCAGGTAGACACACTTGTCCACATTCCCAATCCCATACTTGATTCCACTGCTAACATCGTAAGAAAAACCATTTTGCTCATAGCATCATACCATCTTAGGATTTCCTCAGTTTGTTTATCATGCAAATGTTCACTCGCAGGATACCCAATGAAACACAGACTGTATCGTAAAATTTCTTCTTACACATGACAGTTAGTCAGTCCCTCTATTCCACTGTTCTCTAGTTCCGAAGATGAAGCAGCTGAACTCTTTAAAGAATGACCACTAACATTCCTGGTCCAGGAAGACATATCGCTGGCTGTAGAGCTCCAGAAGCAATCCTGGGAAGGTAATTTGTCTTCTGCCGCTCGTTCCCGTATTCGAGAATGAGTGATACTGCGAGATGCGTCTGTTCAAAACGTGTGTATAAGCTCCAGGCCTGTCCCAAACTTTCACAGAGAATCAACAGATCCTTATTGCACATATTTTCACCTCCTAAAAGTACCGTTTTTTTTAACCATTTCACAATCTTTCCATGTCTTTTGCTCTGTTATACCAGTGTTTCTCAAACGACAACTTGCAACATTGAATGAGTGCATGGAGGATGTGAAAAAGCAGCGTAAATTTTGGGTTAAGCTGCTCGAGCTTGCAGTTCTCCTGCCAAAAATTTCACATGTCGGTGCATGAGAACTAGGCATACTTAGGAATTGAATTTGAATCTTAGATCGTATGTGGACAGAGAGCATCCACCTCACTGAATTTATAGTATATACGCTCCGACTGAACGCACCTGAGTTCCTCGTAAATCGATGGGGAAAATATCGAAAAAAGACTTTCGATGATGAGACGGCATGCAGCTATAAATGAAGGAGTGCGGCGAGCAGTGCTACATCTGAGCCCCATCAAGCCGCAAATGAGAGTTCTAACGTATTACATTTTTGGAGGAAATCAGATCATCATCAACACATTGGGTGCAAAAAACTCCAGCCGTTGGTGCTGTTGTATTTTCACTTCAAAATAGCGAAAATGATGGCCTTCTGTTTCGGTTTGAGAAGTTTCTCGGTTGTTTTATTGTAAATTTCTGAATTTTTCAAAGAAAGGGGTGGAAATGGCTTTTCAAGTTAACGCCAGTTGTTTTTCAAGTATGCCAAAATCGGCATGATTTTAGTAAATTTTGTAATTTTTTGCAAATTTTCGGGGCCAAAACACAATACTTTTTGCTTAGATCATCTTATCAAACTCCTTCCCATCGCATTCATTTCTTACGAAAGATTTTCCTATGTTAAATTATGCGAAGAAAAATATGCAAAAGGTTGATCGAAAAACGAGATTCTTGGCCCTAAGACTGCTCAATAACCGGAAATTCCAATAGGAAAAAAAACTTCACTGCGTAGCAATAAACAGTTAAACAAGCAAATTTACCATATTTTTTAGGGACCGTATACGATGAGAGGTGATATTTGTCCCAGAGACTCGTAAAAGACGGTTCGTCATCTCCACCTGAAAAAAAATGCAACACCTGGAAAGTGACCGAATGCCCTGCAAATGGCAAACTATGTTTTCAGAAAATCTGGACTCATTTTCCACATCTTCTAGCATTTGGCTGGTTTTCGAGCTTCCAGAATATGACATTTCTCAATGTTCAAGCGCTGAATTTGTCACCGCCTGGATTTAATTTTTTGCTTTTTTACAAGTTCCAACTTTTTTCAGTTGTTCTCAACGTACTTTTCCTCGTGTAAAACTTCATTTTATGATTAGATTTCAGGTTTACGACCAAAAAATTCTTACTATTTTAACCCAATTCGGCCGCCTTACTTGGACCGTCCACTTTTTATTCGGCCTTATAATGACCTTTGCAACTCAGTAACTCAATTGCGCCCTCATCACTCAGTTCCTCGAATTTTTGCATCCTGAAGACCAGCATCTCCTCCCCCCCCCCCCCCCCCCCCCCCCCCCCCCCCC